ACTAGGTCATCTTTCATCTCTCACTAGTGAAACTTCATTATACAACAGAGTGTGATGAACACAGAAGGCCACAACTGGCTAAGTTTTAGAGAATAAGAGACTACAGAGTATGTATCCCTGGATAATACTCCTATATTAAACCTCACCCACCCACTGCTCAGAGACCACTGAGGAGGAGGGGGAGGAAAGATTGTGAGAGTCAGGGTTGGTACATGAACATAAGGAAACAGACGCTTTCAGGCCACTAGAAGCTTGCTCTTGTGAACTTGTGGCAATGGTGGCATGATCCATGTGAACCCAATCAGACAAGAGCCCAGTGTGGAGTGAGGGAAATAGGTGGCAGGCCAGCCCTAGCTTGAGAACTGTTGGCAATTGATTACCAATGGGTAAAAGAGACCAGATCTTCTTTAAGATCTCTAGATAGGCTGACTATACTCCATTGGATGAACTTGCACCGAAGGCCATCTGGGTACAAATGCTTGACTAGACAGGGCTTAACATATATGACAGAATGCATGATGTTCAGTGGAGGGGGAGGCATAGAGGACATAGATGAGGGAGGGGGTGTAAATCTGATTAAGAACTATTGTATGAAATGCACAAAAACTCAATAAAAATATTTTTTAAAATAAAATTAAAAATACCTAGGCTCTATCTTTGTACCACAAAAACTAAACAAATAAATAAAACAAGGATTGGCCAGAATTAGATTATATGCTATCAGTTCTAACTTGATGTATCTCTTAAAAACAAACCAAAACAAAAAACCAGGACTAAAAAGTTGGCTCAGGGGTTAAAAGCCCTTCTAGACCACCTGAATTCAATTCCCGGCACCCATGTCAGGCACCTCACAACTGCCTGTCACCCAAACTCTATGGGACCTGACACTTTCTTCTGGCCTCCACAGGCACCCACACAAATGTAGCACATACACACAGACATACACACAAATAAAACAAATCTTAAAAATCTCAAATATCAAAACACTTTTACAAAAATGCATTGTAAACAATTTATACTTTCTCAATTATTTAAGTAAAGGAAAATTTCACTCTCACCCTGTTTTCATAAGTTAATTACAGAAGAGATCTCCCAACGGTTTCTTGTGTATCATTAAGGCATTCTTTTTGTACAAGCTAACACAGCAACTCAGACAGTCCTATAAACTCTAATGGAAACTTGCCAGAACAAGAGCAAAGTACAAACACTTTCACCAACTACTCAGAAGGCCAAGAGTAGGAAAAAATTAAAACAAAGAAGTATTTAAATTTTCATGTGTGACCACTTGTTTGTAAGTAGAAGGCTTATGATAAGAAAAGGAACATTAGGTGGGAAGTTCCTTTACAGCAAGAAATATGGGATACATGGGAATTGTGGGGAAAGGAGAATTAAACCAACATCATACCCACAAAAAGATGTAGACAAGAAATCCACAGAATTTTAAATAGCAAAGTAGCAAAAATAATTACTATGAGCTTAAAGATACAGTCAATTGTAGAAAAAGTCATTTTCTTATACTAAATTTGGGAGCCAAAGACAAAAGTATGTTACCATTAGATCTTTCTCTTGACAATGACATGTATTTTTTTACATTCAGAAAGAACATAAAAGAAAAAAAGTCATTGGGAAACTACAAAGTTAGATTATAATAATAGGGGAAAATGGTATCTAATGGCAGGACTGTTCGTGTCCCTCTCATTTGGGTACCAGAGAGTAATCAAACTTAAAGAAAAAATGTGTTATAAAAACCTGTACCCAGCTAGGCCTGGTGGCACAGCACTTGGGAGGCAGAGGCAGGCAGATCTCTGTGAGCTAGGCAGGCAGATCTCTGTGAGCTCAAGGCCAGCCTGGTCTACATAGTGAGTTCTAAGCCAGCTGGGACTACAAGGAGACCCAGTCTCAAAAAAGACAAAAAATAAAACAAAGCAAAAAAGCAACAAAAAACCCTGAACCCACTTAAACAGCATAGATTTCACCTAGCCATGTCCCCAGTTTGGTGTAAGGCTATTCTACTCTGGATTGTAAAGAATGCTTAAAGGTCAGATAACAACGGACTAGACAAGGATCCTATTCTGCATTACTTATTACTGAAATAAGTCCACTGATTAGAAGAGAGAAAATACAATTCTACAACATGTAAATGCCAAGTCTAACAATTTTCGACAATAAATTATCTAATGACAATTACAATACTAAAAATTTAACATTGGTATAGTTTTAACTGCCATGTTTACAAGTTAAATACAGTGTGATGGATAAAAAATGTAATTAAGTTATTTGGGGGGCTGGAGAGATGGCTCAGCGGTTAAGAACACTGTTCTTGCAGAGCATCCGGGTTCAAATCCCAGCACCCACATGGCAGCGAACAACTGTCCGTTAACTCTGGTTCCAGGGGATCGGACAGCCTCTTCTGTCCTCCACGGGCATTGCACAACACAGGTGCACTTACCTACACGCAGGCAATACATGCATACACATAAAATATTTTTTTTAAGTTATTTGGTATGGGCTAGGGGAGTTCAGCTGCTAGAGTGTCTGCCTAGCATGCACAAAGCCTAGACTTCCATCCCCAGAATTGCATAAAACTGGGTGTGTGTGGTTGAGCAGGCCTGTAATCCTAGCACTTGGGAGGTGGAGGCAGAAAGATAGGACTTCAAGCTCATCCTTGATTACAGAGCAAGTTCGAGGTCAGCCTGGCCTACATGGGAGCCTGCCTCAAAAAGTATTTTAAGGCCTGCTTCACAAGATGGAGCCCATAACTGGCACTATTATCAAGGCCATGAACCTGTGGCTAGACAGGTCACAGGCTGTAGGGAAGAACCTACTATTACTCTACTAAATGGATGTAGTATTAACTAGACTAATGACTTGTAGTTATACCCATAGATTAGTGCATCTCTCAATTCTCCAGAGAAGTTTCTTGCAGCAGATGGTGATTTATACAAAGATCCACAACTGATCAACGTGCAGACAATTAGAAATTACAGAATGTTCAGCCGTACATGGGACAGCATATAGCATACCCTCTCCTCCCAAGGCTCAGGGAACATAGCAGAAGAAGGGGTGTAAAGAAGGTAGATAATTCAAGGAAACTGTTTTCTGGACACAATGGGGCAGCTGTACATATGAACCCACAGTGCTTATGACAGCACACACATGGCCTGTATAAGCTCAAGTCAGACAAAAATCTCAGTATAGAAAGGCAAGCACAAAGTCCCACCTCTGGTTGAGGAACTACTGGCAAATGACAACTGCTGGGAGACGGAAAGTCAGTTTTCATTAAGGGTGTGATGCTGGTTAGGTTGACTATACTCCAGGAAATAGACTTACAGTCAAGACTATTTACGGAACACAAATTAGACCTTGACAGACCTTAAGGAAAAATAATAGCAGCCACGAAGTGAGGGGGGTTAGGAAGGAGGGGATGGATCTGAGAAGAGATGGGGGAGGGGTTCTGAATATGAACAAAATACGCTGTATGAAAGTCTCAAAGAATGAGTACAAATATTTTTTAAATATCTTAAGTATAAGAAATGTAAAAAAATATGATTTTGCAAAAGGAGAAATGATTTTTTTCTATTCTGTATTAGAATTTTAACACAGTGTACATAACACAGTGAAAGGTTAAGTCCATGAATTAACAAACAATGCCTCCATAAAAGAGTGACTAGTTAAGGATGAGAGAATTCTAGAACAATAAGCTTTATCAAGTTTGTATTGTCATAAGACATTAAAAACAAACAAAATTAAGGAACTAAAATTATTCTGGTTTCCGGAACCCTTTAAGTTAGGAGGAACAATATTTCCTGAGACGGGAAAATGGTAGGTCACCCTTGTCTTCACAAGTCAGTGGTGGAGGTTATGGTTTGCAACCTTGGGTAGAATACTATTTTTAAGTGTCTTAAGGGAAAGATTTCCTTATGGGAAGATTGTATTACATTGATCAGAATACAGAAGAAAACTAAATAGCAGCTCTCCAACTTTCTTGAGTCGGCAAAAATATTACCATCTCCTTTTATCTTCTCTATCTTTTTCATCGCCCTTTCCCACTAAATCAAATGAAAATGTTCAAGCCCTCAGACACAAACCAGCTTAGGGAGCTCAAGGTCTACAGTGGTCAGTATGAGCCAGAAATGGTTTCTGTACCTCCTGACTACAAAAACTCCACACAAATCACAAAACATTTAATCTAAAGCTCAGTGGTGAAATGATGTGGGAATCAGGCCCTAAAAGCCTCTTCAGAAGCTCCTTGTTCAACAGAAAAGCATCGACTTGAGTGAGCTTAGTTATCTAACCTCTCTCTATAAAAGTCTGTGGAAGAAACTCACTAAGATGAAATTAGTAACTACTCCTGGAAACCTGACTTACATGCAGACTGTAAGAGTCACAGCCCCAAAGCAGGCTAGAAAGCACATATCCAACCCTTTAAAATTTAGTTCAGGATTCTCTATTCTGAAAGCTATTAAATTCTTTTTGCTATTTGCTTTCGCCCAAAATAACTACTTTCGGGAGCTGGAGAGACGGCTCAGTGGTTAAAAGCAGTGACTATTCTTGCAGAAGACGGGGGATTTGAATCCCAGCACCCACATGGCAGCTATCAATGTCCATAACTCCAGTTCCAAGGGATCCGACGCCGTTTTCTATCCTCTGGGGGCACTGCATGACACAGGTGCACTTACATACATTCAGGGATAACACTCATACACATTAAAATAAAAATTAATAATTAAAAAAACTACTTTTGTTCTAAGGAGATAAAAATGAAGAAATAAGTATGTGTATTTCCTTGCCTTCTTGCCATACACCTTCCCATAAGTCAAATTACTGCTGCAGTGACCTACTGCTTTACCCATCATTCCAAAGGTTCCCACGCAAAACAGAAAAGGGGGGGGGGGCTTAATTCTTAGTGATTATTGTAAAATGGGGAACATCCTTCAGTAGATGGTCATCCTGAATGAATAATAGTCACTAAAGCATCTTGTCATCTGGGTTCTACTTACCCTCAGTGACATCCTGGGGGTTAGAAGTCCGGTCACTGGCAGGATCCAGGGCAACAGTTGCCAGCGAAGTAGTGGCCCCAGACATTTCACTCATTGGCTCACTCCTGCTAGTTTCTGGCACACTTTCCCGGGAGCTAAATCTTACTCGGGAACTGGATCGAGAGCTGAGATCTGGGCTGGTGTCTGACAAACCTGGAATGTCATCAATCTTTGTTGGTGTCACCATGAACCGAACTGAAGACATCTTGGCAGTGGCTTCTGGAGGATGCATTTTTCTTTTCCCTTCTGACAAAAGAGGAAAAAGCTCACAAAAGTCTTCCTCCTACGCCAGCTACTTTTGATTGTAAAAATAGAAAACTTAAAAAAAAAAACCCTCAATTACCTTGATTTACATCCCACAAAGTCCCAATTAAGAATGCTTCTACTCAGAATTCAAGCCAACTGTTTTAGAAAGCACACCAATAACTGGAATTTTTTTTTTTTTGAGAAACAGAAAAACATGAGAACAAAACGATGCTAATCTTGTGCAACTTGGTTCCTTCACAAGGAAGAGCTACCTAGCTGTCTCCCCTGGTCCAGGGCTGAGGGCTCTGTGCCATGATCTCACAGCAGCAGGTGAAGCCTTCCTCTGCTCAACCCCCAGGATCCTGCCGAGGTAGTTAGTTCTTTATCTGTTGAGTGTCCCACAGTTCTAGCTGAGCAAGGTACATGCAGGCCCACCCTTATCGGGCGAATATAGCGTGTATCAAATTGCGAAAAGGTGTGCACTGGCCACCTGTTGTGTATCAGGTGAACACCCCACAGGTCTGGCTGGGTGGAGGTGTGTGCAAGGCCACCCGATGTTTTTGAGGTCGATAATCCACTTGGGTCTGGTGGAAGAGGTGCGCATGCATAACGGGAAAAATAGCCCACACTACAGGATGGAGGAATGAGAGCAGCGAGGATGCAGGGGCCGAGCGGATTCCTGCCTGCCCGAGGTCTGCGGGGAAGACGCGCCCGCTCTGGTCCAGGCAGAGGTCCCGGGGTCCTGGAGAAGGCGGCTAGCGGGACAGGATACCGCGGACAGCAGGTCGGGGTTGAGGCAGGTCGTCGCGAATCCCTGGAGCCCAGGACCCCTAGCTGTTTGTCCCGCGAGTGACGGGACACGCTTCCTCCCCGGCCCCGGGCCCCGCGCGGGCAGCCTCTGGCCGTGTTTCCTCGGGTCTCAGCAGAGGAGACAGCCTCGCAGACTGGTCCAGACTGGGCAGGAGGTGGCAGGTGCGGGATCCGGCGCCAGCTGATGCGGGTGCGCGCGCAGCTGTTGTTTACTAGCGGGTAACTGTTTCCGAGCCACAGCGCGCAAAGGCGCCCCCTCCCCGCGAGACGCCGGAGGCCGTTACGTGACCTCGCCGCCCCCCGCCCCGGGCGCGGCGGGCTCTGCCCGCGCCGCCGCAGCCCTCCCCTTCCCGCCCGGCTCGTTCCTCATTCGAGGTTAACAGTCCTGAGAAGCAGGGGAGCAACTGGAGGGCGACGCCGTCCAACGGGCGCCGGGAGCCCCGCCCCTCTGCAGCGCTGAGACCGGCGCAGTGCGCCTGCGCCACCCGGCGACTCACGAAAGGCATGATGGGGGTTGCAGTCCCCGAGGCCTGAGCGGTGCCCTGAAGGGCGCTTTTCCTCTAGGTCACCTGTTCCCCAAATGCAGCTCAGAGGCAGAGCTCGCCGGTTACCCCAGGACCTCAAGCAAGAGTCATCACTAATTCGAGCGAGCGTCTCTGGAAACCTTCCTAACTGGCACTCAAACCTCCCAATACTGTATCTACCTACCTAGATGTGACCCTCACTATAATTTCACGTCTTTTGTATAACACGTATCGTCAAATTCAGTGTACTTTTAAAAAACTCCTTGTTCCCGCCCTTTTAAAAGTCGCCATTCCTACCCTCTAGTGAAGTTTATACTTCCATGAAAGAAAACGTCTTTATAGACATGGAAATGACATTGAGATATTTGCTCTATTCCATTCCCAGGGTTTGTCCTACATTTTACTGCCATTAAAATGTTCTCTGGTGTTCATTGCATAAAGGTTTAGTAAATTTCTTGTTTGAAAATTTCCTGTAAGTCTGAACAAAATGAAATGCAGAAACTAGCCTCGGTTTTGCCCAGATCCTTATCCTTCCTAAGTACAAAATGGTTAATGCAGCATCTTTAATAGATCAGAGCTGTCTAATACCTGGGTCTGGAAATTCCCTTTGACCAAATGGCAATTTCCAGTCTAGTTAAATAGCTTAGAAATGAAATTCCCATTTAAAATGTAAAACCGGATTTAGCTCTGTAACAGAGCACTCACTTAGCAAGTCTGAAGCCCTGGATTCTTTCTTCAACCGTGGGGATAGGGACAGTGTTCAAAACCTTAATAATTTTTCTTAAAACTTAAAAAATTTACATCCTGTGTGGGTGTGTGGTGGTCAGTGGACACCTTGGGGATGGGGAGGGCCTGTACTCTCCTTTTACCATGTGGGTCACAGGGACTGAACTCGGGTCAGCAGGCTTGGTAGTGAGTGCCTTTACTGGTTTTGCCATCTCCCTAGCCAGAAAACCTTTTTTCTTGGGGGAGGGGGGGCAAGACAAGGTCCCACGTAGTCCAAGAAACAAAAAATGCTCCGGGTACGAGAGGATGACATTAAACTTCTGACCTTCTGCCTCCACCTCCCTAGTGCTGGGATTACAGGTGTCTTGCCACCATACCTTGTTTTTACAGGGTGCTAGAAATGAAATCCATGGCTTTGTGCATGTTACACAAGCACTCTACCATCTGTGCTACATTGCGTTTGGTTTTCTAACACAAAGGCTAGCTACATAGCCCAGGCTGTCCTAGAACTCACAGGGATCCTGCTGCCTCAGTCTTTGTGCCCGGATTAGAGCCGCCATGCACTATAAATTCTTTGTTTTTTGGGGTTTTTTTTTGAGGCAGGGTCTCCCTTAGCCACTGATGGGACTTGCTATGTAGATCAGGCTTGCCTCCATAGAGCTGGGAATAAAGGCCTGTGCCACACCTGGCCAGTTTGGATTCTTTATATAGCTTCTGGCTCTGATTCAAACTTAGTTTTATTTGAAGAAGTAAGAAATCCATCTCCCAAGGGCTCAACTTTCTCAGGCAGGCTTTAAAAAGACACGCTGAGATTTCTACACACAATTTTTGCTCGCTATCATGTAGCAGTCTATTGGCATTTACTTATGTATACTGCCTAATTCCCTCTAGCGACTTTTCTTCCTGTCTCCAGGCACAAAACACTAATCAAGTTCTATAAAGGCAAGTCTCAGATATTAACATTCAGGGGATCTTTTTAAGTCCTTGGTGGATTCATACCAGTTTGCTTTTCTCTTCCATACTGATTAGAACAATTTCGAAGTTAAAGTTTATTTCAGTCTGCCAAGCTGGTGGCACAGAATGCC